CAAAACTCAATTTCTGCATATCCAAAGTGCATAATTACTGGGAGTGTTTCTGAGTGAATTTTGAAGGAGGATGAAGTTCCTGGCTGCTGCAAGAGTGGCTATAATAAGGTCCTGGGGAAAAACGTGTCTGAGTCAGTAGGACCACCTTCTGGGGGAGAGGAGAGTGGGCTCAGAGCAATGTCACACCCTGGATGACACACTGCACTGAAAACTCAAGGCAGGAAGGGCAGCATAAAGTCACAGGGTGCCAAGAGTTCAGGGAACATCTTCAGGACCACATGCAACAGATAGATATTTTAGAGGAGGCAAATGAGTTGGTAATAAAATGGACTGACCAATTATCCTACATACACTAGAATAAAGCAGCTCTATTTTAGCATGATTTGTTTGGATTGCTGTAAAAAGATGAAACTGTCCATCAGTGTTGGGAGCCTGCCGTATTACCCATGAGAATATAGCCACAGGATGGCGTCCGCCTACCGCCTCGCTGCTCCCCCGCCCATCGTGTGCCCAAGATGGCGCACACATCCTGCTTCCTGGTTCTTGCTCGGCTTACTGTCCCCGCCATATATGGTAATGATTGATTGCTTCCTTGTTGCCGCCCAATCGCCTGTCCCCACGTGTAATCCCATGATTGGATAACATTAGCTATATAAGCCCAAGTATAGGAAGTGCCCGACGCACAACACGTAGGAAGCCGTCAAGGACGGACGTGTATTGAGGTTGTAGCCCAGTCAATAAAGGAGCCTGCAGAGACAAAGTGTTCGTGTGCCTCATTCTGCGGGACAGACGCGGCGCCGGACACATCAGTTGTTGTCAACTAACATATACTTATTGAGAGTGCTTGGTATGCTAGGCACTGCACGAGATGATGAAGATGTAGGGGTATATAAAAAATAATGGCCCTTAGTATCTAGTGATGGAAGAAAAATGATAAGTAGAACCTGTACATAAAATATAGAGCAGACTAACCAGTCTCCTGGATACTAATAAAGCAGGATAGTGTTAGAACTGTAAGCAGAATTGTTAGGCCTTGTTAAAGTGATATTTGAGCAAAGATGTGGGAGTGATGACTATTGATCTGTGCAGATATTGGGCAAGCAGCATTCCACACAGAGGGATCTGTTAGTGCAAATATCTGAGGTAAGCAGGGTGTAGTGGAGGAACAGAAAGAAGCCAGAGAAGCTAGAATGGTTGGAGGCAGAGTGCGATGAGATAAACAGAGACTTTGGGTCTTGTAGCGCATTGTAAAGTTTTAGGTTTCACTTTGAGTAAAATGAGGCCCCTCAGGGAGTCTTAGCACTGGGGTGGCTATTGAGACAATGTTGAACTGTCAGAAAGGGCTGAAGACTAAAGCAAAGAGATCAGTTAGGAGGCTTTTACAATATCCCAAGCAAGAGATGATAAGGATGGCTTGGACTGGAGTGGTAGCAGCAATGCTGAGAGGGGATCAGAGTTCAGAGAAGAGGTAGAGTCGAGGAACTTCTGATGTGTTAGATCAAGGAGATGAAAGCAAAAAAAGAGTCAAGGATGGTTTTGTCTTGGGCAAGTAACTATTAGGAGGAACAGTCAGCAAGGCAGGAGAGTGGGTTGTCCTACAAGTCATGACCAAAGGTATCTGAAAGAGGAAGAGATGATCAACTAGCTCAAAGGCTGCCTACAGGCCAAGTAAGATGAGAACCAAGGAGTGACCTTGGGATTCAGCAATGTAGAGGTGACTGGTGACATTAAAAAGAACAGCGTGAACTGAGTGATAGGATAAGAAAGTCCAGTTGGAGAAGGTTTGAGAATGAGAGAAGAAAAACTGTAAGATAATGCCATATGCTCTAAAATGGTTGTATTTTTAAAAGCCATTAATTCAGACTTATTAATCTAAATGGGTATTGTGACCACAGCAATATGAGTAAGTTAATTTTATTTGTGAATTCTCTTTTTCAAATGAGAAAAAGGTTTTATGAAATGGGTTTCAGCATTTTTAAGTCTGGCACTATTAAGTGAAGGAAACCAATTGCTGCCCATGGCGAATCTGCAGCTTCAAAATACTATTATAGTTAAGACTACCTCTCTTGTAACCTTACGTACATACACACATGCATCCATACACACAAGCACACATATCCCAAAACTGACATCATAGCTTCCAGTTGAATAGTAACTCATGAACAACATCTCTCATTCCAAACATTTCATTACTGATTCATAGTTCCTTTTGCATGTCATAACCACCACTTACCTTAACATGTTAAATGATGTCTCTCATTCTACAGATATTTGACTGCCTTTTCTACTTGTGGATACATGGCCACTGTCAACAGTTCAGCACTGAATGTCAGAAAATCTTAAGCTTGGGATTAAGATTTTGATTTTGAGACATGCTAACCTAACATGTCTCAAACATTAAGGTTTTGAGACATGCTAACCTAACATGTCTCAACAACAGTCCGGTTCCTACTGAGAACTTCAAAGGTGCTGTGATGTTGTTACAGTTTGTGTCTAGATATCCCCTCAAAGCCTCATGCTTTCATAGGTGGGATTTTCAGAGGTGACTGGTGTGTGTGGTGCTAGGACTAAGGATGTGTCATTACCAAATCAGTCCACTCATTGGTCTGGCACCACGCTAATCCACACTAATCCTGGTAGCCTAGATAGAGTATAAAAGGGTCCGAAAAATGCTGCTAAGGCTCCTTGCTTGCTTGCTGTCACCTGCCTGCTTGCTGTTGCTTCTCTATGATGCTCCTCTGTCATGTACCACCCTGCCTTGGAGCCAGTTGACTATGGACTGAAATCTTGACAAACTGTGAGCCAAATGAACGTTTCCTCTTTTAACTTTGGGTGTCAGGTATTTTGTTGCAGCAACAAGAAAAGTAACTAGGACAGAATTACAATTCAGTTCTTGTGTTTTGATGTCATTTTGTTGAACCATTAAAGTCAAGAGTCTCTCCACCCAGGGACAATGCCCATTTCCCAGAAGGCTCTGTTTCAGAGACACAGAACCATAAATACCAGTGCAGTGCATGCAGATTCTTAGTCTTGTGTTATTTCTCAATTTTATGCTTAATTTGCTCCTTTTGGTTTTATGTATTTTAACACAGCCAAGAATGTGTGTGTGGATTTCCCCATAGTCCTTTAAATGTTATAAAACTTTAATATAGAGAGATAAAAACAATAATAAGCCATGCCTCCAAGCCCTCACATTTAGGTTCTTTATTTAGGTTAGAAAATAACTAGTTTTACATACTGATTTGGCTTTTCAAGTACTTGTACTGCTTTAAAAACCCTTGTGCCTTTCCTTGACTTTCTCCCCCACCCAAATGGAAATTATATTCTACTCTTAATTTGGACGTGACTCTCATTGATTGCAAAAAAAACCAAAACAAAACAAAACAAAAACTGGCATCTTTACAGTTCTTCCAGCATTGTCATAATGGCCTGCGTCGTGTGTGAGCCAATGCAATTTACCATGGTTTAGAATAAAGCCAAGACGGATGCTCAGTTCCCAATTTTAAGCATGCAACCCTGGAATGTCTTTTGGAAAAAAATGAAATAAAGCTCCTGGTAGTCTGGTGGGTTAGTCTGTTTTCAGCATAATTACCTTCTTTCAGCTTTCTAATACCCTTAAAACCTCTGAGTGTCTTTAATGTACAAAGTTCAACAAAAACACCTTCAAAATAGATTAATTGTAATTATGCTTAATATTTGTTTGCTGCTTTATTAAATAAACTACATTTGCCTTTTTTTAAAAAAAGGAAATTCACTTAACTATCAGTCACTCAAATGTTAAGTGTACAAATAAAATGAAAAACATTTATTACATAAATTTAATTACAATTCTAAGAAATACACATGCAAATTAGATAGAGTTCAATTTGCAGATGCTAATCCTCATCCTTGACTCCTTGATCTTGCCCCCCCCCTCCCCATTTCCGTCTGCAGTTCTGGACTCCTAGGGAGCCAGCTAGAGGTCTGACTTCTCACAGTCGGAGGATCTCCGTTTTAAAGAAATGTTATATTTAGCACATCTGGCATAGTAGCAGTAAACAAACACTACAGTCTTTGTAACCCTCTGGTGCAGGCCCTCCTCCGACTCTATTCTGCCTTTTGCCTTGTGAGCTCTAGTTCCTTACACCTGAAATGACCCATCTTGACCAGGGAGGGGTCCTGAGACAGAAATATGAATTAATGTCTCGAAAACCAAACTCCAATGGAGTCCAATATAGGAGAAAATCACTACCTGCAGAATAATGTGATGTTGCAGTTTAAACTACATCCCCGGACCCAGGACAACCTTCTGTATGACTTTTTATTTCCTGGAGGTTCTCCCTGGAGGGAATCGCCCGGCCAAGTTGCGCAGGACCCAGGCTGCTTTCTCCTCCATGTGCAACCCAGGCGGGGACGAGGGGAGCGGCGGCGTGGGGGTAACTGCTCGGTCCTGCACAGACATCTGTTTCTCGTCTGCCTTTGCTGTGGCAGAGGAGAAGAAAGTCTTTTGCAGAGGGTGGGAAAAGCATGGATTTTTTTTTTTTTTTTTTTTTTTTTGATCACGAGCACACACAACAACAAAACTAAGCCAAATAAAGGCAAGGCGTCTCTGAAGATTGCAGAGTGGATGCATAAATTCCGCTGGGGCCGGGCCTGGGGCGCAGGGCTGGAGGCAAGTGCGCGTGGGGTCTGGTTGCGGGCTGGAGCTGGGCCCGCGCGTCCCCGGGCATCGCGCGGGAGGGGAGGGCGGAGGAGCGGAGGGGCGGAGAGCGGGAAGACGGAAGAGGGAGAGGGAGAGGGAAGGGGGAAGCGCAGGGGCGGGCTGGCGGGGTGAGGGAGGGCGCCCCGCGTGCCGAGGCGCGGCAGCGGCGGGCGCGCAGGAAGGAGGCGAGCGCGGCGCTGTCATGTTCCCTCGCTCGCCCCGAGGGCATCCTGCAGAGCCTCTGCGCGGAAATCCGCGGGGAAATGGCAAACAGGATTGACGGGTTTCACGCGCTCCGCGCTAGACGCAACCGCTCATTACCATAACCATCTGCAGCGCGGCGGCGGGACCTGCCGGGACCCTCGGCCACCGCCGCCCGGCCGCGGCCAGGACCCCGAGTGCACGGCCGGAGCGGAGCCCCGGAGTGACTGCGGCCGCCGCCCACCCGCGGACCCCGCGGTAAGAGCCGGGCGGGGGACCGGGCCACCCACGCGGGCCCTGCGCGCCCTCGCCTGGGGCCGCGCCCGGGTCACCGCGCGGGCTCGCCGCTGCGCCTTGTCGGGGGCCCGGGCGACCCGGAGACCCCGCTGGCCGCTTGGTCCCCATCCCGGGCCTGTGCGAGGGATGCGCCCAGGGCTGGGCGCGCGGCGCGGGGCATGTGGGCGGGAAGGGGTGGCCGTTAGGGGCGCGCGTGTGGAGAACGCAGCTCTGCAGCCGCCGCCGCCGCCGGCTGACACTCCGTCCCCGCCGCGCCGCCCCCGCACTCGCCCGGCCGCGGAGCCAGCCTGAGAGCCCGCTGCGGGCGTCGGCGCCCCTGTCCTCGGCTCACCTCGCTGCCGGCTCTCCGCGCCTCCCCCGCGCGCCTTCTTGGCCCGCAACTTCCCGAGGAGCCGGCGGGACCGGGGTGTGAGGCGCGGGCCCGGCCAGCCTGGCCGAGCCCGCCCGCGCCATGAGTCACTGCCCTGGAATCCTACCTTTGGGGTTTGTTTCCCTTAGAAGGAAACTTAAGACGGAGAATAGCTCATTTTCCAGAAGAGGCGCTGGGCGCGGGCACCGCGCAGAGGCAACTTGCCTTTGTTCCCAGACACTTGGGGTGTCGACTCTCTCGCGCCGTGAGGGCCAGGCGCTGCCCCTGTCCGGCTGAGGCCGGGGCAGCCACACCAGGCCCGGGGGTGTGTCCCTACGCAGCTGCCAGCCTGCAGCCTGCCTGGCCCGCAGAGGACTGGCCGGCCAAATCCCAGGCCCGCAACCCCTACCTCGAGCCTGGCTGGAGAGCTGACCCAGGCTTGCACCCAGGAACCCCTGGAACTTGTTTGGCCCAGCACTGGCCTCCCCAGACCCAGGACACAGCCTAAAGCTCCTGACCCTTTTGGACTGTGTCTCTCAGATGCTTCCCAGGGTGGACAGGGCAGAGAAGCCACAACTGTCTCTTTAGAAGGGTTGAAAGATTCTGTTCTGCCGACCCACACCTCCAGCACCATCACCAGCAAGGAAGCACTTGGGATCTTGTTAGGGACCACGCTAAGGTCAGGGCTTGATTCTACCTGGGCAGAGAATTTAAACTGACCATGTCAAGAGTGCACTGGAAATTAGCCTGTGCTTTTCTTTAAAACTTTGCAAGTCGAATCAGTCCTCCAGCTGGTATAATGCTCTTAATAACATTCAATTCAGTATTAATAATACTAATACTTCAATTCAGTATTCTTCAGTGTCAGGTGGGAGTGAGGTGGGGTAGGCTCATTGTGACCAGGCGCCCCTTAGATTCCAGGCGGGGACTGAATCCCTAGCAACTTTCTCCTCTTAGCATAGAAGTGAAGCTAAGAATAAGCCCAGCTCAGCTAAGGAAACCCAGTTGTATGGAAATGCCTGCTAACTTTGCTGTGACCCTGTGCTGGGGACACTCAGTGGCTCTTAACCTTCTAAGGATGCTTGAGTGTCATTCCCCAGCAGCCTCCTGAATGACAAGGAGACAGGAAGCCTGAAGATGAAGGCTTGAGACTTCTTAAATTTGTGAAATTTGTGCTCAAACATGCTTTAATAGCCTTTTTTATTGCTCACTTCTCATACTCCAAAATGATTTTTTTTTGCCATAGTACGTATCTCCGTGACCCTATTTAGTATTAATAGCACATCAGTCTGTTGGCATGAACTTCTGAATTCCACAGCAGAATTATAATATAAAAGTCATTATACAGAGAACAGTGAACTTGGCTCTCTACATGTAGAACAAATAAAGATTCCTTGAAATACGGGTGCTTCGTGCTATGCAGTATTTCATGAACATTATACTTGCCGTCTTAATTTGTTAACATCCCAATGTAAGTTTTAAATAGCCTGGGAAGACTCAATTACAATATCCCCTCCCCACTCCCAAATAACCCCAACTCATTCATGTGTTAGTCAGACTTAAATAAATCACTCGCAGAACTCAGCCTCTCTCATTTAGGATTTTGTGTGTAACAGTTTCCAATTCAAAAAAGAAAAACTACTGAAATTATATGTTGTAAACAAAAGAAACAGCCAAGATAAAAACTATTATGCCACATTTCAAGTTCGAATGGATAATGATGGGATTTCATATGCTAGAAACAATACTGAAAAATAGAAACACTGAAATTCTTAACCAAAAAAGCTACTCTCCAAGCATCATTAAAAGATAAACAAAACTGTGACCAACATAAAACAGCATAGGGCCCATTAATGTTTTAGTGTAAAAGGTAATTGCTGTCAGGGGCCTGTAAATGCTTTTCCTTCTAAGGGCATGAGTTTTTGTCAACCTGCTTTTCTTGATGTGTAGTAGAAGTTCCACTAGACAAAAGCTTGGGTCTTCTTCCACAAGCCAGCACAAAAATGAGAAGAAATTTCAAGCTGGCAAATACTATGGTTGTCATCAGTGCAAGAGAGAGAGCTACTGATTCTGATAAAAAGTTGCGATCTGTGTGCTCCTGGCAATAGCATTTCCTGATCCAGTTGTCTCTTAGAGTAAGTAAAGAAATTGGACCATTTCATGAGCGTCTCCTGGAAATCAAGTATAATTCCTTGCTGCGGTACAGAGTTTGATGGGTGATAGACAGAGTGGTATAGTTTAATCAATAGAGGCTGAATTTCTTGGTTGATGATTCAAAGAGAGAAATAAATTGCATCTCCCACTCTTTCTTCACAGAGTCAAAGAGAATTGTTGGAACCTCCTTCTCTCTCTCTCTTTGTTTTTTTTTTCCTCTCGTAATAAATCCCTGCTGGTGTCTCTTTAGGGGCAGCCCAAACCAACTAGATCATAATTCTACCCACAGACCCAGACATTTCGCCTGCCTGCAGTGAGATTCGGAAGGCAGAGACCTGGTGAGAGACCTAGTCCCTGCTGCCAAGGGCTCTCTGTTAGCCAGAAGGACTTTGTCACTTTAATGGAGCTATTTCCCCATACCTGATTGTTCCCTCCTGTGCCTAGAAGTGGACCCTTGTTATAGCATGTAGAGAATAATAGTCTCCCTCAAGACAATGATGGATTCTCCCTTTCCCCAGAACATTAAAGCTATATAATTTGGAAAAGAAAGAAAGAACTAGACCCTTACTGTGTATTTGAAAGACAATCAATCTTCAGAAAGCAAGCCTGACATCACTTCTGTGACAGTTCTTGAAATCACAGTGAGTGCAGGTTTATGTCTCCTATACAATCTGGCGGTTAGTGAGGCTGGGCTGTCACTGCAGGTCTGTGGCCCCGTAGATCTTTGCTTTGATGTCACACATGCTCCCCTGTCAGCTTACCCTTGATCCTGCCTTGACTCCTGTGTGGCACCAAGTGAGAACACTGAGCCTCCTAGAAGTGGCCCCACTCCTGCGTTATGCGGGGGTAGCCACAAGCATCATAGCGCAGGAACAGGGCCAACCAACCACACCCATGGTGTGACCCGAGGGCAGGGTGTGAGCCAGGACAGGGCAGCCATGTGTTTGCCTCTTGGAAAGTTCCTGCCTCTGTCTGGGCTTTGCAGTGGGGAGTTGCTGGCTGCCTCTGGCCCTGGAGGCCTGGCTCCTGTTTAATATTCCGCCTGCCCCGTTGATGTTGTGCTTGGCTCCTGTGGGACTGCAACTCACGGCTGGAAACTGGAGCCAATTTTCTGTCTTCATCTTGCAGTGTTTTGACTGGAGGCAGATCCAGTTCAGGCTGATCAGGGCTGGTGGAAACAACTACCAAGTGTCTCTGTCTGCCTGGCTCTGGGAGGAGAAAGCGGAGGAAGCCCCAGAACGTTATAGAGGAACTGGCTGTGGAAGCCAGAGGAGGAGGGGACAGGGCCTGGGACAGGCTGCACCTCCAAGTAGCAGTTGGGATTTCGGTGGGGGTTTCTGCCTCCCCTGCCCTTTTCTTTTGATTGATTAGCGGATTTCATCCAAGGAGGCTCCCAGGGGATTGACTAGAAAATTGATTTTGCCTTGTTAATAGAAAGGAAGCGTGAGGGTTTTGGCCCTGCCTCTTAGTGGCACATTTTCTGCAGGAAGGTCAAGAGGAAAATGTATTTAGGAGGCACAGCAGCTGTCTGGACGAGGGCTGAGGGGAATCTGAGAACAATGAGAGATTGGGTTCTAAAGATCCACCCTGAAATGCAGGTTGCTGAACACAGGCTGAGCTGATGGCTGCAGAGTTTGCTGAGGTTGCTTGGAAAAATCATCGAATGGTTGAGGGTGAAGGGGAGGCTGAGGCAGTAAAAGTTTCTCAAAGTGGAGAAACAAAGGCGCCAAGACTGTCTCCTGGCTTGCTCTTGATTAGAGCTGTTTTCCTTCTTTATTTTCTTTTTCCAGATTTGAAGCTGTCAGAGATGACTCTGGTTCTGTCCATGAATAGATTCTGTGAGCCCATTGTCTCAGAAGGCGCTGCTGAAATTGCTGGGTACCAAACACTATGGGAGGCTGAGAGCTACAGAGGCCCAAGCCCCCCTGGGCCAGCACAGGCTCCTTTGCAGGGAGACCGGGGAGCCGGTCCCCCGCTGGCAGGTATCACCCTTCACCTTCCTTACCCTCTGCAGCCAGCTGGTAGACAGATGGAGATGCTGCCTGCAGCGCCCTTCTGAACCGCGAGAGCTCGTGCTCCCAGGCTGTCTCTCCTAAGCCAGACAGGGCTCCAGGGGTGGGATATGAACTGCATTCCAAGCCTTGTCTACCTGTGCCTGTGTATTAGTCAGGGTTCTGTATTTTTAGAGGTTGGATTTTGATTTTCTCTGCTGTGGAATTAAGTCATTGTCTCAGAGCTGCACAAGCCCTGGTGGGCTGACAGAGAAATCTTTATAGGGACTCTGTGCTTTGGGCAGGCAGCTATGTGCCTCTCCTCTTTATGCAGCTCACACTTGGTTTTAGTAGGGTTTTAAAGGGGGGGGGGGATGACAAAAAAGTAAAGCCAAGAAAACAGAAATATGTTCTTTCTGATTATTCTTACAATCTATGATGTGTTCCTTTGCATTTTTGTACAGTGAAAGCTATTTTTTAAAAAGGAAGTGAAATATAAGGCAAGAATTCAGGAAGGTATATTTGCCAAAAAGGTAAAAGCTGTGATCTTTAAAATTTAGGCCAAATTTATTCACAGTCGCCATTAAATTTTAAGAGTGAAACAGACTATAATTACACAAAATTTGTATTTAAATGTTTAAATTTTGTGTTTTAAAAAGAACTATTTTAACTTTAATGTGAAGATAACCATCTGTTTACAACTTAGAGCCAATAATAATATTTTAAGGTGGCCTGGTTATCAGTGGTTCCATGTGAACAGTGGTGTTATATTGTCTGAATTCAATGAAATAGTTTTTATAAATACTGATACTGTTTCTGAGCTGTTAGCATTCCTCTCATTATAAATTTTGCTGTTTGCTTATACACAGAATTATGATTGTGAGTATTTAGTAAATATTGGAAGATGGCATTTTCCTCTGAAATTGCCTAGAAATCCCAGCCTGGCATGGGTCACAGAATTTTGTATAATAGTCACTATTAAGACAAATGTTTATTTTTAATCATTGCATGTACAGGCAAAGATGCAGCCAAGTTATTCTCTAGGAAGAAAGGAAATGAAAGTATTTTGTTTGGAGAACCTCTGGCAAACCGCATGTCATTTGTCATTTCTGATTTATTACCAACAGGATCACATTACAGGGGAATTTCAAATCCTATAACAACATCCAAGATTACATACTTCAAGAGGAAGTATGTGGAAGAAGAGGATTTTCACCCACCACTCAGCAGCTGTAGCCATAAAGTATGTTTTTTTAATAGTCATTATTTTTATTAAGAGTTTAAAATACTTAGTAACAGTTGCTTGATCCACTTCCAAAAAAATTAAATTGTTTTACCCAGAGCAATGAAAATGAGATACTTCTTTGTAGAACCACATTAATCGTTGTCACTTTTTTGAGTTGTACATTATTTTTCACAAGTACTTGAAGAGAGAACCCAGGAAGAGATACTCTATCCAGAAATAACAAAATTATATAACCCAGCAAGTGTCTTTTTATGTGTGACTTAATATTTCCTGAGTAGCAATAAGGCCCGTGTGCTGGGACTGCACTTGTTCCTTCCTGAGGCATTTTCCCAACCACAGCTCTGCCTCCAGGCACTAGCACCACCTCTGTGCGTGCCCCCAGCGAGGTGGTTTCCCAGGGCTTTTCCTGAGCCCTTGGGACTGACCATCCCTTGGACCTGTGTGTGCGATGCCAACACACGCTTCATATATGTCAGTGTTCCTCAAAATATAGAATTCTTTCCCAAGAAAAGACCAAAGCTGTCTTTTTTGCACATCTACTAAGAAAATAGGGAAAGAGCACAGGATTGTGGAGCTGGGCACCTAAGCTTTGGATATACGTGTTCTTTTTCCCTGTATATAGTATGCTTTCTTCAAAAGCAGTTTGTTGATTTGATCAAGGAGGGTATAAACCCAGACCATAGTTGCCTGAAATTTAGAGAAGAGTTTCAATAAAGCTTCCTCTCTGTCTCTTTCTCCCACTCACCTCATCCTTCAGATGCTGCTTTTGCCCTGTTCATAAAAAGCCAGCAGCATACATTGCAAGTACTGAGTTTATCCCTACCCAGTTGTCTGTCTCTGCCTTGATCAGTCTACAGTGGTTTAATTCACACTTCTCAGGTCATGCCACCAGTTTGCTTTTTTCATGACCTAGAAGTCCTAACTCCCAGCTTATTTTCTTTGTGGGTTTTGTGTTGTGGTTGTGGCAGTTTTCCAGGTGCTGATGGATTTGCATAACCATCACTTGGTAATGGATCAGATAGCTCAGGAGTGCATCTTTTCTGCCTGACTCCCTAACTTGGTCCTTCAACTGCAAATCCTGTCTGAGTCTAAGGCTCATTAATTACCGTTGTCTTCTTATCAAACAAGGATAGTTGCAAGTATGAAACCCAGAGGAGTTAAAAAGGACAATCACAAAAGCCAAATATCAAACTCCTCAGTGGTGAGACCAGCTTGGAAAGATACTCATTAGGCCCTGCATCTTGGAATCTGCTTAAAAATAAATATGGGTGTGCAATACATGAGTGTATATGTCTGTGTGCATATGAATTTGTGTACATGCACATTAAAAAGTACATGTGAAGTACAGCTTAATGAATTTCAGCCATGAATATACCCATGTCAGTATATCCCAAGTCAAGAACCAAAATGTAATCAGCACCCAGAATGCTTCCTTGTCTGCTTCTAGTCCTTGTTCTTTGCTTCCCAAAATAACTGCTCTCCTGACCAGTTGGACTGCAGCTTTAACTTGCTATGTGTTTCAGCGTCTCCCCCACCAGCCCAGGAAAGAGCAGACAGCCTGTCCTGTCTTTCCTGGGGTCTACACTGGGGCTGGATTCCCCCGTGCTTGACCACCAGGGAGTCAGGAATGGGGTGGGCACTCTTCTGGGTGAGGATGGAGAGCACTGGGCTCTGCCTATTTCTGTGGAACCCTGGGAAAAACAAAAGCACATTCCCAGCCCTGGGGCACTGCTGCATGTGGTGGTATTTTTATGTAGTCTGTTTTCTAAGCCTTGTCTTCTTGGGTTTTTTTTTTGGTTTCAATTTTAGACCATCTCAATTTTTGAGGAACGAGCCCACATCCTTTATATGTCCTTAGAAAAGCTAAAGTTTATCGATGACCCTGAAGTATACCTCCGAAGATCCGTTCTCATAAACAACTTGATGAAGAGGATCCATGGCGAAATCATCATGCAGAGTAACTGGTGCTTCCCTGCCTGCTCTTTCGGCAGCACCTCTGCCCAAGAGTGGTTCATGGCCCAAGACTGTCCTTACCGAAAACGACCCCGCATGGCCAAAGAGGAGTGCGAAAAGTTCCATGCCTGTTGCTTTTACCAAGAATGTGGAGGCCACTACCTAAACCTGCCCCTTTCTGTCAATGCTAGTGTCGGAAGTGCCTCCACTGCCTCTTCCTCCTCCTCTTCCTCTTCCTCCTCTTCCTCTTCCTCTCCCCCTCTGCCTTTGCCAAGTTGTTCCCACCAGGTGGATTTCGATGTAGGCAGTGCACCTGTATACAAGAGTGATGGCCAGATACTCGCCAATGAAATCTTTGATACAAATGTCAGGTCGCTTGGTGTTCACGAAAAGGCCAAATTAAACGATGAGGAGGCAAACAGCAACGCTAACAGAGATGGTGACCTTCTCGGCCACGAACCTGTGGGCAGTGACCTTGATTTTGAGTGCAAAGGCCAATTTTATGATTATTTTGAGACTGGCTATAATGTAAAAAACAATATAAGTGAGTCTTGGAAAAAGTCTTTAAGGAAAAAGGAACCTTTACCAAGTAACAAACTGTGCTGCAGCAAAGCGAGTAAAATATGAGCCATCTTTTCATCGAAACTTGGAAGCATGCACAGCATGATCAGTTATCTCTCATACATTTTATTTTGAATGGATTTTATAGTTTTGTACAACTGATAAAATTATGCCATGAACATGCTGTGTCGTGTCAATGCCTGGAGAGCAGATTGCGTAAAACATCTCTATCGTAGGCATCAGTGAGCTACTTGGGATGGGATGATTTTACCAAGAAAACAGTCAACCTATGCTTCAAAGTATCTCTTAGGTTTCTTACAAAAAAAAAAAAAGTCACTAGATTAGATTGGGAATAATATACCCTTGTGATATTTCTGTTGCCCCCAGGAGCCTGTCACTAGTGGAAAAAAGTTCAACATGTTTGCCAGTTGATAAGCACACAATGTAACCAGCAAAGGATGTCTGCTTCTTCAGTGGGATACAGTAATTTTTTCTAAATAAAAGACTGAGACAGGGAGTTAGTAAAACGGCTTCATGGTGCTGTTAAGTATCTGTATTTAACAGTCTCTGTTACACATGAAAATAGGATGGTACACAATGAAATATACCTGTCAGGGGCTACACTCAGTAGTCTGCACAGGGGATTCCCTGTAAGTTCCCACTAGCCTGGGATGGGTGAGGAGGCTTTGAAGGAGGAGGTATACAGGGCGATTTTTGGTGCCTTACTTTATCTTAATTTTTGCCAGTGTGAAAATTAAGAATAAATCAGAGTTACAGCAGGGATTTAACAAACAGGAAAAAAAAAAACACAGGGTGGATCCATATGGTTTGGAAACTGTTAACTTTGAACTGTTATGTTCAACTTTTGATTCAACATCTCTATATTTCCTTTAATTTTGATGCCCAGTTGCTTTGGGTTTGGCATTTTTGGAATCGGAATGGAGGAGACAATAGAGACCTGTTAGGATCCAGCACTAGCTATGTGAGCTTTTCTATGGCAGCAGTCTGTTGCTGGGGTCTGGGAGTTTTGGGTTATGGGTTGTTTTCTTTTGTTTTCTTGTCCAATGAAGTTCATGAACCCCGTGGCATGCATTATACTTTAATCTGTTTTGCATCATTTCAATCATTTAGATTATAAAAGCATGTGGTTTTTTATATATGACTTTTGCTGTTGATTAAGAAGCACAATGTTAATAAATGATGTGGTGATCAATAAGGTTTATCTTAAAGAATGTAAAGATTTTAGTTTTTGGAAAGTTATTTTGGAGAAATGGGACTCGGTCTGTAATTGTGAACTACATATTTGGCCAACATTCTTCCCAGTGATGTCTTGAATTTCTGCTTTTGCAAGAGTGTCCAGGGTGGCTCTCTGAGCAGCCCTCACGCCAACCAGCTCCTCCTGCTCACTATTCCCATTGCCAAGGTTACTGACTGACTTGGATTTCTTTACACATTACTTCACAGAAACTAAATGCCAAATGGAGGAAGTCAGAAATTCCTCCCAGTTTCTCCAAGATAAAGTTTTTTTATTATTGCTATTAATATTAAATATAGGTCTCATTCATACAGTGTATGAGTAGGATCATTTGGACAATTGTCCACAAGGACCAATTTTTAAAACATGTTATTGTGTTATAGCTCAATAGTCTAATAATGTTTTGTCCTTTATTTTCAATATTCGATAAACATTTGATGTTGAAAAATTAGATGATAGATGCTTGTATATGAATGTGTTGTAATAAAGTGAGGTTTTCCTGATATATATTTATTAAAATGATGAAAATTCGTTAAGCTTTTTATTTTAATGGTTATTGGCTGTTTCTCTTTTCCATTAGTCTCTGTTTTGTTAGTCTTCTATTTAAAAAAAACCTCAAGATATCTCAAAACAGTGGACAGTGGTCACACAGTAGTTTCCAAAATAAGGAGTATTTTAAAAGGCCGGTGTTTTAGAATGGCCTTAGTTTGTAGGTTTGTTTATTAAGAAACAAGATTAACACATGATATGATTGATAAGGTCATACCTCGATGTAAAGACTTTTGGCTTGGGAAAATCTCTCCTTGCTAGCCTCTGCTTCAAGAAAAACCTCTGCTGGCAGACTTTGGAAAGCTAAGTAAAGGTCATCACCACTTGAGGAAGTGGCCTTGCTCCTCAAGATTCCTGTTGCTACATCCCATCTAGGTGTGGGTCCTTAACCAAACCATTAACCCTCATCCCTGATCTTTCCTTTCCAAACGGGAGCAGTTATAAACTATGCTGTGGCAAAGGCCCTTTACAAAGACAAAGATGTCATTACATGATTCCTCCCTTAAAATCATATTACTCTATATGGAATGAAGGAGGAAGGAAGTCACTGTGTGACATTACTGATTAGAGAAAAGCGTGTTCAACATAATCTTTTAAGCAAAAGACATTTAGAACATTTTATATGCTATTTTATTAAACAAATGTTGAAGTGAGTAAATGAAAATATTTTTAGAGCCTGTTGTTAGCTCTGTAAAAGCAAGGCTGCAATTCTTCTGATCTTGAACTTGCATTGTAACTCCATTTGATTACTTCCTTTCGGGTATCAGGAAACACAAAGAGAGGGGCCTCAACAGACATTAGCTTCACGGTAAACGTCAGACACAGAAGAATTCTTATGTGATGCCACCAGGCTTTTATATCCCTCAAACACACTGAGAGCAGGAAGCATGTCTAGAAATAATTAGTTGTTCAAATCCATGTTTATGACAGCCCTATAAATTTGAAGTCGTTTCATTTGTAGTTAAGGTTATCACATCCCTGCCAATCGCACTAGCCTTTTCAAAGGATTCAGCCTGCCTTTGCCAGCAATGGTTTAAATCAGATTTAGAACTGCTCCATGAAGAGAAAAACAAAATCAGTATTGAAGTAAGAGACAATGTATGGTTTCTACTAATTCATTTTGAAATTGTCATGTTTTGATTCTGCGGTTCCAAATAAACACATGAAGGGTCTTTTATAGTGCATAATCAAAGTCTACTCTTTCTATTTTATGTGATGCAGCTACATGACCTGAGGTGAAACAGTTACTAGTTTAGAGATTGTTCCCAGCCTGTTCCCAGCCTGACTACATACCATGTTTTAGCTGGGAGAACTCACGTAGGAATCACTCTGGCAAAGATGTAAGTTATGAACACTTGAATCTTGCATCCTGCCACAAAGTGCATCAGCAAGTGAGTTTAATAAAACATGCTGTTTAAAATTAGTCTGTAATTTCCCATTTCTCTTCAGTATCTGTGACAGGCTGAAGAACGATGACTAAACGAGGAGAATTACACAAGCTAGTCTGGTGGTGTTTGCAAACCATTGCCACGAGCTGCTTCTTTTTTGGTAAACAGTGCTCTGGTGGGCTGCCTATAGTTGTATTTTTTTTCTTAGTGTTTATCCAATTTGTTAATTTTGAATATGCAAGCTGCTTATTCAAAGCCTGGAAATACCTGCTTTTGACCACAGTGAAAGTGACAGAATGTGTAGAGGTTATTTATCGTTTTTCATGAAATTTCCCGTATTTCTCAACTTCATTTCATAACTATTCCCTTGATTTAAGTTGATAAAATTTTATAAAATGCCTTACTGGGAGCAGGACACACATAAAAAAGAATCTGCAGAGACAGAAGTTGTGATGCTGCTTCCCACCAAGACCCCTAAGATAATTAGAAAATTTCTGAACTGTGAGGGGCAGGAGCCCGTGTACCCTTTGGTCTGTGCTCACTAGCCACCCTTCAGCAGACATTGCCTCCACCCAGTCATCACACAGGAGCAGCTGGATCTTGGCCTCCCGTAAGATCTCACAGAAACCTGATACTTCTGGACCTGTCTGCAGCAGCCCTCAAAATGCACCTGTGGCAACTCTGCATCCTTGCAGCATTCAGGAGCTAAGGCCGCTCTCAAACGTGCACCATCACAAACTCACTTCATGCCTGTGTGTGGATGACAGAGTGAGTTACACAGGAGCTGTGACCTCTGAGTAGATAGAGTCAAAGAAGTCTGAGAATATGGTGCTGCTGGTATATGACCCACTGAATGCAGTTCCTTTAAGGAGAAGTCTAGAGACTGAAAAGGTGTAAAGAAGACAATTGCTTTCTTTTGTTATCTCTCTTAAGCCAGGATAGAGATGTTTTTGTAGGAAGAGATAAATTTTAGAGCTGGGAAAATTTCTCATTGTCCTCCAAGTCCATGGATGTCACCAAAGCATCTTTGTGATCAGGTACAGTTGCTGGCTAAAGACACTTATGTCCTGTTCCAGATGAGGCATAGAAGTTGTTGGTTTGTGGTGAGATTAGAATATAGCAGAGAGTTCTAACTGTGGGCTTTGGAGTCAGATTGCCCCCCTAGGGCTGGGCAACCTTGGCCTTGCCGAATAGCTGTGGTACTTCCCAGTTTCTTGGTTTTGCTGACTATACAATGAGGTAGCATGCCTTTGGGTGAGTATTCATTCTGGGTATGCAGGAAGAGTGAGCCTCAGTAACTTCTCCACAGTGGCCCCACAGGACCTGCAGATGAGCCTGGCAGTGCCAGTCCTCCTTTTGATGGAGAGGGTTCAGCCTCTTAGATTCTACACAGTGAGTTCGAAATTCATCAGAGGACGGCACCAAACCCGGGATCCCAGGGCTTTCACACTGATCCATAGTCATTTGTATCTGTGGGATGTGTTTAACATTTCAAAAAACTTATTGAAAATCATAAAATCTGAAAGTGGTTATATTGGAGAACCTATGTCAGGTTCTTTAGCTTTGTCTGGAATTAAATCAACTCTGGCTTAAGACAGATGTCATAAACTGAGAAGGAACTCTGGGAAAATGAGTCTTATCCTTACTAAATGTAATTTGTTTCAATGACAGAATCTTCTAGAACAATGGATGCATGACAAGAATAAGAGGTATCCACAAGGAAAAGACTAAAATTCTTAATCCTCTGACAAATCTCATCTTGTCAAAGTTCAAGTTAATCCAGTGACCCTGTTGATCTGTTCTCTTAGACCTCATTTATACTCAAGAAAACACACAATTGGGTTAAAAATTCTGAAAACTTTAAACACAGCACTATTCTTGTGATCCTCTACTTGATAACGAAACCAAAGCAAAATTTTTTAGATAAGGATGAGTTGAAGGGCTTCACCTGTCATAAAGTAACTAGTTTCTCTTTTTAAAATCTAAGCTTGAAAATCAACTATTTCAAATTCTCATTTCTCTTCAGTCCCCTAGTACTCAGCTTAACTAATGATATCAAACAAAGATTCCATTCCATTTCCATCTTTCTTCATTTTTAAAGAATCTATGTTTTCCACAAAGCGAACTAATGATAATTGCTGATTCATAGGCTCTGAGGGGATGAGAACAAACTGAACCGTGAGACTGGAGAATCAGAGATGGACACCAGCACATAATGACAGCAGAGGTTGTACTGTGCCACAGTGGCCCAGGACTTCTTGGGGTCAGGCTTTCCTCCTACCCTACCAAACTGGAATAGTTTGATGTGTATCAATAGCTGGCACTGAGTGGCTAAGGGTGGCACCCAGGCTGGCCATCTTCAAACACTGTTTGGACACTTAGCAACTGAACTAAATCTTTTTCTTTTAATTTTCTAGTGAGTAGGATTCCCACCAGTAAGCAGATCAATGAGGATTCTCAACCTGTCCTGCCTTGGCCCTTGACCCAGCTGGTTTTGGCCAAGATGACCGTGCTCCATGGAATCTGTCTGGAAACATTATTGGTTCCTGAACAGGAAGAACCTAGTAAATCTGGGGGTCACCTGTTCACCTGGGTGTCATAGTGGCTGAATAAATACATACTACGAAGAACTCTGGGATGGAACTTGTAGGAATTAATTCATTTCCAGCTGGGCAATGCTGGTGCATTCCTGTAACCTCAGCATTCTGGAAAGCTGAGGCTCAAGGATCGCAGGTTGGACCCCAGTCTAGGCAATTTAACAAATTAGTGAGATTCTGTCTCAAAATTTAAAAAGGGCTACCTCAGTGTGAAGACCCTTGGTTCAAAATTCATTTCTACCTCTTATTCTCATAGATCAGACAAAATTTCACGCAAACATCCTACAATTTTCTAAATTTTTGCTTATTTTCTTAGAGTCTGTAGAATCGGTTTCTGGCCAGGTGACTGTTGTTTTCATCACAAAATTATGAGCAAGTTAGTGATGATATCGCTGGATTCTTGCCCTGCTCTGCCGCCCACTAGCTGTTGGAGAGCGGCCCCCGAAGTCCTCTGGGTCTTCATTTTCCATTTCTTAAACTGAGAGGCTGGACTCAAAGGGCTTCTAATCATTCTTTTCTGGCTCTAACATTTCTTGATTCTAATGACCGAAGATTCCTGATCCCTGCTCCTCCTCCAATATTTTTATTTGAATTTTTTAAAAAAATGTTTCCTTTCCTTCCCCAGGGTGCCCACCCCACAACGCCCGGAAAACAGAAACTGCTTCTGAACGTTTTTATAAGAGCAAATCTCGGAGTTTTTCTGTCCAAAGTGATTGCTTTGGCGCTTGAGTGCTAACCCATTGTCTGCAGTGCATTCCTGCGGGTAGCGCCCCAGCCTCTGTAGCTCCCCTCCCTCCACCCTCGGGCTTCCACAGCCCGCCCCTTTCAGCCCTTTAGCTCCCCGGAACCCGCGGGGCGCAGGGGCGATTGTCCTGGCGCGAGACCCAGCTCCGAGCCCGCAGCCTGCCCGCACCGCGCAGGCAGGGGACCTGGGAACCCGCTTCCCTCTCCTGTTTATGCGCAATAAAAGAGCCCGACTTTCCCTTCTTTTATGAAG